AAAAAATAAGCAGTTTTTCCAAAAAAGTAAAATCAAATCATTAGACCCATTTCTTGATGGTGGTAGATTGCGAAAAGATAGAATTGATAATGATCATAAATTTCAAATAATTTTGCCACAACCTCACAAAGTTAGTGATTCAATATGAGCATTTCAGAAAACTACATGCAGGTCCACAAGTCACTCTAAATGCGGTTAGGCAACGGTTTTGGCCCATTAACAGGCGCCGATCTGTTAGAAGTGTTTTAAGTAAGTGTGTGCTTTGTTTTAAGGCAAAACCTATTCCTTGTTCTCAAAAATTGGGTGATCTGCCCTCTGATCGGGTAAATCAATCAAGACCGTTTTATGTATGCAGACAGATTTTGCAGGGCCATTTTTAATAAAAGATGGAAAGTTGAGAAATCGTTCTATAATAAAAGAATATATGTGCATATTTATTTGTTTCGTCACTAAAGCTGTACATATAGAGTTAGTGAGCGATTTATCGGCTGAATCCTTTTTAAATGCATTTAAACAATTTATTTCGCAGCGCAGGCTATGTAAAAGGGTTGATTCCGATAACGGGCCCAATTATATTGACTCTTGCAATCAAATCAAGGAAATACAGGAATTTATTACTAAAATTTCACCAAACAAGTCAGGTTTTAAAACTTTGTTCAGAGAACAACATTGAATGGGTATTTATACCAGCGAAATCACCTTATCAAGGTAGCATATGGGAGAGCGCCATAAAGTCGGCAAAATATCATTCTCAGAGAATTATTTGACGTTTGAGGAGCTCACAACGGTGTTTTCTCAAATTAAGGCAGTGTTAGACTCTCGACCTTTAACCGAAATGTCTCATGATCCTTCTGACCTCGTTTCTTTAACTCTGGGCAATTTCCTAATTGGTTCCCCTCTCACCACTCTACCTGAAGTAGATGTCAGGAAGTAGTCGACAATCGGCTCTCGTTATATCAGTTGCTTTAGAAAATGTCTCAACACTTTTGCTCCCGTTGGTCGCATGAGTATCTCTGTTCTCTGCAAAGAAGAAACAAATGGCTATCGACTTCAAACAATATCCTCATCGGCAGCTTTGTTCTGATACAAGAAGACAACCTGGCTCCGCTTAACTGGAAGTTAGGCCGCATAGTTCACACTCATTCTGGTGCAGATGGCGCTGTGCGGGTAGTGAATGTAAAAACTTCATCAGGTGTTTTAAAGCGCTCCGTTCAAAAGGTGTGTGTATTGCCAATAAGTGACAATGTGGAATAATTTTCATGAATTTAGACTAATATTTTTTTATTATAAATAGTTTTTTCTTTGTTATTTTTCTCCAGATTTATTAATGCTTAATCTTTTTGTTATTTAGGTTTTAGCATGTTTATTTATTGAAAGCAGTCTTTAAAGGCGGGTGGCTATGGTTAGGTTTGTAACTGCCTTTTTTTATATAAAATGTATTTTTTATTGTAAAACTGGATATTATGTAGAGTTTGGCAACATCGTCAACTTCCAGATAAAAAATTGTTTCGCTTTTTACAACATTCAAAATTCGATATTCGGTAACACTACACGCTGCGAAAGTAGAAATAAATATTGTTTCACAAACGTAGTGTTTTATTTAATGTGAAAAATCAAGATTACAGTCCACAGCAAGTTCATTTACGTCCACAGGTTTGTTAGTTTCATTTATTTTTCATTTTATGTATAATCTTATGCGGAACAACCCTTGATTTCTCCAATAGGCACAGGTTTGAATAAATTACCTATTTTTTTTTTTAATATTAGGAATATATTTCTATTTTCAATAATATATTTTACATTTAGATTCAATCATCTGCGTTTCTGTGTGCGTTTGCAGCACCTTCACTGTAAAACTGAAAAAAAAGTCTGCCAGTAATCAATTCAAATATAAAAAAATAATAAAATAAAAAAATGTTGAGGCGAATATGGTGGGAACCGCATGTCGGAAGGCGCATTTGTCGGGGCGTATCTAAGTCTAGAAAGAAATTAGAAATTACAATTTGTCGTGAAGTAGTAACGTACTTAGATTTTGTATTGCTGCAATACGAGGAATAATATTATAAATCTACTTAGATTTCTTACCGTCTTAAGAAAGTAAACATACACTCTAAAAACTCGTCCCCAAGTTTATCTTCTTGATATATATCGGAACCAGTCTAGTGATTATACTTTTAAATTTTTCCCCGTTACACACATAAAAAATATGTTTAAAAACGCCTTAGGTTTATATAATATTGTGTCCTTGAAATTAGTTCACACGATTCACGATTTTTTAATATTCCATGGCCAAAATGTAATGTAACAAAGTATTCCAGATGATAATAAAATAATAAATAAGCAAGTTTATGGAATATTGCAGCTTACATACTACAGAATTGGGTTTCCGTGCTAGTCACAGCACTACTACTTGCACTTCTAGACCTAAGTCTATAAGCAGTGATAATGATCCACAGAAAATGTTTCTAAAGTAGGCCTTGGAAAAATTTGAATTTAATTTAAAGCCACATAAAGTTATCACGAACATTATCAGTCATGTTCGTGATAACTCTCTGTCTTTGTTGGAGGTGGCCTACTTGTGAAACATTTTTGGGTTTCACTTTTTATATATTATATTCAATTGGACTGCGGTGTCATTGCCAATACTAACCTTCAAATAATACGCAAACTATGGAGAAAAATAGCACATAGGTGATTTCTGAACTAAACGATTTCTTTGCTATAAAAGTATGATCGGTTCCTAACGACACATTCTGTATGATATTAAATAACATGGATCTATTTTATTAAAACTAATAACATATTTTAAGAAATCTCCAAACATTTTTTATACCTACCAGTTTTAAACCGAATATTCAGTCATTTTACAAATTTTCAGAGAAACTACGTAAAAATCACACAGTTGGGTTTCCGCTTAAATAAATTCCTAAAAACGCTTCGGACTTTCTTGTCGCAGTCGCCGAGAGGTTTATCCGAGCTTACTGGACACGGTTTTCTTGAGAATCAAGCCTGAATTCAATTTCCATTTTGAGTCAACATCCTCCTTGCCGTTTTTCTACGAAAGACTCGCTCAATTCGTCTGCAAAAATAGGACTTTTTTAAAGTCGTCAGAAAAAGGGATAATTATAATATGGAATATTCAAGGAAAATATTATTTTGTTATGTTTTAAAAATAGTAATTATAAATGTTACTTCAAAAGAAAATAGTAATTACATTGAGCAAAAGTTAGCTAGAAGTTAATATTACATCTAAACCAAAAAGCTGCTCGTCTATAACAGCAGCTTTGATTCACTACTATGAAATATAGAAATGAACATTACAAAAATTAAAATTTTACTATTTCTAACGCTATTCAAATGTAAAGAGAAAAAATACATTTTCCAACGTTGTCAGAATACATTTTTTCAGTGTACGAAAGACTGTAATTGAGAAACTCTACATTTCATCCTAAACAATCATATTTTCTCAAACAATGCTCCTTCTCTTCTGATAGCTCTAAAGAAAGGAAATTAACAAAATTTAGAGAAGACCGCTTATCGAAATTTGCTGCCTCGTCATGAGTATACACATCTTTGTATATGTAGAAATTGTGCTGGCAGTGCTCAAAGAAAATAAGCGAAGTGTTGATTTGGATAAATTCGAATATATACCTACAGAATTTCTGGTAAGCACAATTCATTGAGAGAGATTCATGTTACATATTTCAAGAGAAGTAGAAAAAGCTGATATCTAACTTTTGAAGTAATTTTCAGTTCAATGCAGTTTCCAGAAATTGTTCACATTTTTTGTTCCACAATTCTGCCCTACTTCAGAAAAAAGCCGCATGTATAAACGATCTTGTTTTGAATAAAAAGCGTTTAAATATGTCCCACATTTCGAGTGTTTTTATTTTGCTTATAGTTTTTAGATAGGTAGAGATATATTTATGATTCCTTAACTAATAATTAAAGGGCAATTTATATTTTGGTCTAATAACAAAGGTTTTTGACAAATTATAAAAATATAATAGATTTTAAATTATTTGAGTAAGAAAACTGTGACATACGGCATTTTGACTAATAAAATTTAAATAGCACTAGCAAAAAAGGCGCATGTCAGTCACATATGGTAATTTGCCTTAAGTAATTTAAACAATACTAGCGAAAAAAGTCGCATGTGAAGATTTCACCTATTTGATAGACATAACAAGTGCAGAGTTTAGACTAACAGTAACAAACATAGTTCAAAAAATCTACAAATTCAGTAGCATTTTGAGATTTGGAATAAATTAGGAAGATTTCAATGACTGAGTTTGTATTGGGATCGTAAAACACTCCTCAAACCTTATAAAGAAAAAAATAAGGACAATTAAAATATTTTTTCTCCGATTGTCATTAAATGTCACTTTTAGTGATATTGCTCAATCATCGAAGTAACACTTTTACTGCCCAAGCATTAAAAATCATTTTTATTGCTTAGGCAGTAAAAGTGCTACTTCTATGATCAAGAAATGTTACTGAAATAGACATTTAATGTCAATCGGAGAATAATATATTAATAAAAAATCATAAATTACGATTAGAATATATATATTAAAAATGTGTGAATTATAACCGTTATACCTACTTAAAACAGGTTTCCATTTTAATTCCATTTTTTTTAAACAGACTTTATAAACAATCGGAGAAAAAATTATATGTTTTACACAGCAGAGAAACATATTTACTGACATGGCTAGTTTCATTGCCTCGGCTTCGCCTCAGCAGTAAATCTGTTACTTATCTGCCTAGTTATACAAATAATAACTATTCAAAGTAGTCGAAAAAAGTTTTATTATAGTTCAAATAATAAATGTAAACACAGAAAAATATTGTGAAGAGTTTTAAAACAAATAAAAATTCTCTTATATTTCAATACAAACAGAAATAAAACTAAATAATAAAAAAATGTACTAAAATTTTAAACTAAAATGTTTAACCTTCATTCTCAATATGCTCTATGAGATTACTCGAATTATTGTTTACTGCCAAGTCCTTCCAAAACTTTTTTTTTGCAAAGGAATGATATCACCAAGATGTGTTAATATTGTTTGTTTTCTCTTATCGGTAATACCTCGATCTTCAGAGTTTTCTTGAGCTTCAGCCAGCATGGATAATTTGGTCTTTGGTATAAAGAAAAGAATTTTGCTGCCACCATTAAATTTTTCTTTATAATATAAATGTGTCTCTCCCCTTTTCGCCGTTATTTCTACCATGTTTTTGAGCAGAGGTTTTACTGGGTTTAATTTTTTAATTTGGTAATCAGTGGTTAAGCTAGGCCATTTTTTAAAGTTTCTAAAACTCATTGCTTTCACAATGGTGTGACTATATGAACAGTTGTCTACAACTTCGACAAAATCTTGGAAGTCGTATATTTTTGGGGTTTTCTTCATTTCTAGCTCCACGAGGTGATGAAAAGAATCCGCTGACATAAACGAGTGCCCAAGCTCAAAATATTTTATTGTAATGGTGTCAGCTGCAATTTTCTCTGAATTGATTGCGTACACTAAGTAGCTTAATAGACACCAGTTTTTATTTTGGCTGGAACAATTGTCAGCCCAGAGAACAACGTTTTTGCAGTCACGTGAGCTTTCAAGAAATGTGTCCTATGTCCTTCTTTTTTCTACCAGAAGTAGCTTCGTGCCAAAGTACAACAAGTGGTTTATTTTTGCTTGTTAACTTCCCAAATGGTACAAAGGACTGATTAAAAACAATGAGTCTCAGAGTGAAAATTACCTGTTTAAACATGTCTAACCGGGGCAGCATGGTAACTTTCTGTAAATCAACAGAGCAGTAGACTGTAGTTTCATCAGTTAGCTGCTTCGTACAATCTTTTTTGTACTCATCTCAACTTATTATGCTCTTTCCAAGAAATACATCCATCACATGTATTGATAATGTTATCCTTGGTATGGGTCTTGTCATGGAGATCAAAAGCCTCACATTTTTCGCATTGCTCATGATCTAATTTGGTAAATGATATTCTCATATCGTTAGTTACTATTTGTAAATCTGGAAATTGTTCTAAAAAGTCTTTATACATATTAGTTATAGTTATGTCACTGGGTAGGTATAACTTATTAGGTGCGTGTTCTCTTCAATAATGAGATAGACTAGGAGAAAAGGACTTTATATGCTGCACAATAATATTCTTATCAATTGGATTTTTTCTTTTCCAAGTTCCTCGATTATCTTTTGGAGGGCTTGATAAATTTCTAAGAATTATATCATTATTGCACGCATATCCTAGAGTAACTAGAAAAAAAATTCTTGCAGACTTTTTGTTTTTCACCCAAATCATCTTTTAAATAAAAATTTGGGTGAATATTTTTTTTTAAATCCGTTTCCACCGTATTTGCACGTCTTTTTAATACTGATAGAGTCTCTGTATAATCTAGTAAAAATTGTTATTGTTGTTCAAAATTTTTTCGCCAATATTTTTCGTTATATTATATTTTTTTCTTGATCTTTCTTTTTCTCGTTTTGTAGTAGTAAATTCATCTATAGCAAATACTTCTTTTCTGGTAGGTGACAGATTAGTTTCTTCTTCTGCTATGTCTATCCTATTTGTTTCTAGTTTCTCAGATTCCTCATTTATATGTCCAATGTTGTCGAGGTTGTTTAGTTCCCGTATTTGTGTCAAATTCTGTACATGCAAGGATTCAATTTCTTTCATAACGATCTGGTTCGTGATGTTATTTATCTCAATAATTTCTAAAATAACATTTTCTGCAACTTCACTTGTGAAACTGATTAAATGTTCTTCAATAAAACTGTTTGTAAGAATATGAACATTATTTTCATCAGTCATTATCAAATTTTCAATATCAAAACATGAATCAACAGAAATATCTTCATCATTTTCAATTATTGTAAAAGTACTGTCTATAATTAATTCTAATATTTCTTTAACTACGCAGATACTCGTGCCGCTTCGTTTAACTTTTAAATCTTTACTTGGCCTTAAATTTTTAATTCCATCAGGAGGGTGATTTTGAGACTGGCGTTTTCTTAAACTAGTTTCATGTTGCTGATTTCTCTCATTGAAAATTAATGGCGATGTTAATTTTGTCGCTAACATTGCAATTTTTTTCCTCGGTTCATTTTATCTATAACAAAAAAATGTAAATTCAAAATTCAATGTCACTAACATCTTTGTTTCTCTATAACATAAATTTGATACAATCACCGACAATTTTAAACTAATCATGTTGCTATCATTATTACTCAAAAAGAAAAAATAACTTACCTATACAGGGTGTAACTAAATAAGTGTAAAACATTTAAGGGGGTGATTCCTCATCGAAAAAAAAGATAGGATCTTTTATATAAATAAACTTCATTGAAGCATCCCTTGTTAAGATACAGCCCCTTAAAGGGGGTACATAAAATTTGTTTAACAATTTTTTTCACAAGCACTAAACAAGTTACAATATTGAAATTAATATGTCATTTTCTATTACCAAAAAGACACTTGTCCAGTAATTTATTTGGTTTACCTCATGGTTGTAAGGGGTGGAAAACGCAACCCCTAAAATTTCGTTCCAACGTAACTTTTTGTCTTATTATTTGTTTACCATTTTATTTCCGATAGCCTGTTTCATTCTAAACAAAAAATGTCTCTTGAATTTTTTGCCCAAAATAAACCAGTTCGCAGCAAAAAATTATTTTGCGAACAAGATAGATATCGCCATAAAACGAAAATAATTTTTGCGGCTCTATTTTGATACATGCAGCATTTTTTACTAGTAAATTAGGCAGAAAAAACAGTTCTACACCAATCAGATAATTTTTAAAATAACTTTTTTGATATTATTTTCTTAAAAATAAAGATATTTTGATTTTTTTCTAGAAAATAAGACCTCATAGAATTCAAATATAACATTAACTCAATTTGCTCAAAATCTCGACATGCGGCTTTCTTTCGAAGTAGGGCAGAATTATTCTTTTATTACAATCGCTGACACATTTATACATTTCACACAGTAAGCTGTGAAGAGTGCTTTTGGTTGTGTTCGTCCATCTCATATCACGTTATTTTGTCCGCACGAAAGAAGGTATCAATTTGAAAATTGTAGAAAAATCAAGCAGTATAAGCGGCAGAAGCTCTTTGATTTAAAAAAAAAATTTACTAAAAATGTGGGGATTAAGAAGTGTAGAAATTAAAAAAAAAAAAAATTCGTAAAATAAAAATGAAAGGCGATATGAACATAAATTTTTTAGTAAAAATTATGCTCTATATGAGGATGAACTCTTTTGATTCTATAAAAAATATAAATAAAAATGAAGGGGTTTAAGGAGGGTTGAAATAGTGAAACATATTGTAACTCAGATGCAAAAAACGATATCAAATTGAAATTTTCAGGAAAACTCAGACTTTATAAGGGGATGAAACCTATTGAATAAAAAAAAAATTGAATAAAAATGGGGGTTAAGGGGGTTGAATTATATTAAAAAATCCTAACGAAAAATATTAATTTTATAATAAACTTTTCGAGCAAATAATTATGTACAGAAAGTTTTACTCTTTGCGCCACTCTACATTGTGTGTTGAACCCCCATATTCCCCTTAAAGGACAAAATTCCTCGTTTTTCTTTGGTTTTTACAATTACCGTTAAGGTCTGACATTTGTTGATACTTTCTGGCAGTGCCATTGTTTTGGTTTGTATTACCGATAAAATAAAATATATATTTTTTAAATTTTGAAATATAAAGTGACATATTTTGTAATCGCAGGAAATATCAAAATGATCTACTTTATGTAACTAATTACCTAAAATTAAACATTATGTAACTGGTTACGAAAAGTTCATTATGTCATCAGTTGTGAAAAATAAACAAATAAAAATAAACCTTTTTTTTAAATCAATATGCACATTATACATTGCTTTTGAAAGTTGATATGAAAGGAAGGTAGGTTACTTACATAAAAGTAAATTTTGACAGTGAACTAACGATTATTATTAATTTTGTTTCGATCGCTAATTTAAACTCTCTCGATCCATCATAAACCTGGCCACAATAATGAAAACATTGTTTCACACAAATATGATAATGTTATATGAAGAAAAAAATTAAAATATCCTTATACTTGTACTTACCTTTATGAATTTCAGATGATTTGACGTTAATCTATAGATAACTACTACTACTAATTTATGTAATCAGCAATGTAAATAGGAGCAATAACAATAACTATTTTCTAAGAAAAGAAAACTCTAAGTCATATCCTTATATAAAGGATTGTCATATTAGTGAAAATAAATCATTTACTCTACTTAACTACTTTGTAACCTACCGAAGCACTGTGCAACTTTCAGAGAGAAAAGCTGCCTATAATTAAACTTATCACCCCTCCCGTTCTTATTTAAGGGTGGACAGATAAATTGTGGTTCGATAAGTTAATTTTAAATTTTAAGTTTCCTTATCTAAAAAGTTCTAAAAAAAAAAATTTATTTTCAAAGCACAAGAGCGGCAATTTTTCGTCTAGTAAGCAACAAAGGGTCGTTTGGTTGTGAAAGTTGGATTTCTAGAGTGGTTCTGGGCACCATTAATTTGAACAAGATAAAACTATGAAAACATGATTACAAGAACGATATCTTATGAAGATGTATGGTTCGCTATAAAACACTTTTGAGAGAATCGCCTTAGATATTGCTGGACCCTTCCCCATGGCCGAAAATGGTGATAAATACATGTCGTTATGGATTATTTTACGAAGTGGGTGGAAGTCTACGCCATTCCAAATCAAGAGGCCGCAACTGTTGAAGATATGTTGATAAAAGAGTTTATTTGTCGATTTGGAGTGCCCTTGGAGATCCACAGTGACCAAGGCAGAAATTTTGACTGCCAATTCTTCCGTGAAATCTTTGTCAGACTAGGCATGAAGAAAACTAGAACCACAGCATTGCGCCCACAATCCTATGGAATGATAGAGCGAATGAATAAGACCATTAGAAAATATCTGTCAAAAGTGGTTTCAAACCATCAGCGAGATTGGGATCAGTATCTTTTGCTCTTTGCAATGGCTTATAGATCCGCTGTCAATGAATCAACAGGCGAAACACTAGCAAATGTCCTATTTGGGAGTGAAATAAGACTACAGTGTGAGCTCGAGTTTGGATGCCGACCTGGAGAAGATGTAGCTGGTGAAGATTATGTGATTCAGTTACGAAGAAGAATGGACGATATGCATGAATTGGTCCGCTGGCATCTTCAAATCGCTAGCGATAAAATGAAGAAGCGATATGATGCTCAAGCCATAGAAGGATGTTTCAAGGAAGGCAACAAAGTCTGGCTCCATAACCCAAAAAGACACAAGGGTTATTCTCCAAAGCTTTAAAGGTCTTGGGAAGATGTCATTTACCGCATAAGTAAAATCCCGAACGGTAA